ACTTTATCTCTGTAGTACAATTTGATATTGGGGATTATGATAACTCCAGCAATACTTTTATTGCTCAGAATTATTTTAGCTATCCCAGATTTTTTTTTTCCATATGGAACTGAAAAATTTTCATTTAAGATCTTTGAAGTACTGTGTTGAAATTTTGATTCAATACAGTAGATTGCATAGTAGGATTTTTGTTATGTTAATTGTACTTATCCATATGCATAGAACATTTTTCCATCTTACAATATCTTTTTCAATTTCTTTCTTCAATGTCATAAAGTTTTATCATTCACATCTTTCACTTGCTTGGTTAGACTTACCCCAAAATATTTTATATTATTTTAAGCTATTGTGAAAGGTGTTGTTTACCTGATTTCATTTTTAGACTATTTGTCATCTGTGTATGGGAAAGCTATTTATTTTTGTGATTTAATTTTGTATTCTGCTACTTTATCAGTTGTAGGAGTTTCCTAGTAGAATTTTTAGAATCACTTGTGTATGTTATGCTGGAAGGGTTTATTTTTACTCACAGTTTAGAATGGTCGTTCTCATCATGGGGGGATGTGTCATGGTAGAATGTGAGGTAGCTGCTCAAACTGCATCTATCATAAAGAAGTAGAGAGAGTCAAATGCCAGTTCCCAGCTTTCTTTCTCTTTTCCCCCTTTTCATTTAGTAGGCCTCTAGCTGACTAGATGGTGCCACCTACATTCAGATTGGGTTTTCCTTTCTCACCTCAAGCTGCCTTAAAATGCTCTCACAGGTATACCCAGAAGAATACCTCCGGGGTGATTCTAAATCCAGCCAAGTTGATAATATTAGCCATTGCATGTATACCCTTTATCAACGTGACATCCAAGCATGTAAATTTTGAATTGTAACAATCAAGTCCTATCCACTATAGCCCCATGGCTATCAGCTAATGCAAAATGAATTCATTCTAACTTCAAAAGTCTATAGTCTTAACAGCTTCGACATTATTAGAAAATCTAGAACCCAAAACCTCTCCTGAGATGCAAATGTAAATCCTTATGAAATAAAAAATAATTTGTATACAATGACAGAAAATCACAATTCCCATTCTGTGGGGGAGGAAGAATAGGGACATCGCAAGGAAAGAAGCTCAAGAAGACCAAATTCATCAGATACAACACCAAATCCTGCAGCTCCATATCCCCCACCTGGCACTTTTTATGGCTTTATGTACCATGGCCAATCTTACTCACCAAATATTGCCGGCAGCAGCACAGCAGCCCCTCTTTTTGACCAGCTCTGCTCCATTCCTCAAGCTTTCCTCAGTCCTGGCTTCTCACGTATCTTGACATCACCATTGCAAATTAGGCTTTACTTTCATAGCTTTCTCATGGTATCACATGGCCTACTTTCAGAAGTTTGTTCACTCACTGGTCACATGGCCTTCCTTCAAAAAGTCATTCACTCCCTGATCGGCCTCAGTAGTTTTCTGGGACCTTGGTAGGTGCTTCCATATCCTCATAACTTCCATTTTGGTCAATCTTAAGTATAGTCTTATCTACTTCTATCATGGCCACAGAGCAGTGATTCTCAACCTATGGGTCATGATCCCTTTGGGCCTCTAATGACCCTTTTACAGGGGTCGCCTAAGACCACCGGAAAACATAAATATTTATATTTATATTACGATTAGTAAGAGTGGCAAAGTTACAGTTATGATGTAGTGACAAAAATAATTTTATTGTTGAGGATCACCACAACATGAGAAATTATATGAAAGGGTTGCAACCTTAGGAAGGTTGAGGGCCACTGCTCTAGAGCAACTGTGTAAGGTCTTTGTGGAACTAGGTAGCTGAGTCCAGGAAACTCTTCCTTCAATAAATATTTTTAGCAGAGACCTCTTCATAGGCTTCACATATGAGTCTCACCCTACTTAAAGGAATTTGCACTTTTGAAAACGTAGGCCTTCAAAATGACTAGGGAATTGCCCTCTGGCATCTTCCCTTTTACCCAGTGCAAAATATGAAGTTTTCACATTCATCTCCCTCATCCCTTTAACAGTTACAGCTGCTTTCTCCACACATGGCTGATCCTCAGCTGTCAGCATTTCCCCTTCTTTGCCAAACTATAAACATTGTGTATCTTTCTGCTCCACTGGCTGCTCGCTCTCACTGTAAGAACGAATGCACGAGGACAGAAAGCTGTAGTTATGGCACAGCCTCAATGGTATGTTGCCTTGACGTTTCCTCTACCAAACACGTTAGTCTGTTCCTTTGGAATCCAGTCTCAAGTTCTCAGGACATTGGGAAAGTCTTTGCTAGAACATAGCAAGAAGACTTGTAGTCTAATTCTTTGTAGAATCCTTGCTTCCTCTCTGGCACCTCATAGACCAGGCCACCAATGTTTACATGTCGTGTTATTCTGGTCTTTCACATTGCCATCAGAATATCCTATTAAAAGCTTCTTTCTTTCTTTTCTTCTTTCTTTCTTTCTTTCTTTCTTTCTTTCTTTCTTTTTTTCTTTCTTTTTTTTTAACATCTTAGGGCTTTTCTCTAATCTGGAGCTCAAAACTCTTCCTCTGAAAAGTTTGTGGTAGAGGCCTATGAAATCTCACAATCAGGCTTAGCACTGCTCTTGGTACCAGTATTCTGACGTTTCTTATTGCTATGGCCAAATACCCAAGGAAAATCAAATTAAGGCGGAAGGGTTCACTTTGCCTCACTGTTTGAAAGGGTGTGCACTTCACCGTAGCAGGAGGACAGGAAAGATGGCGAGGAGGCTGTTCACATTGTCTGTGTAGTCAGGAATCAGAAGAGAAAACAAATGCTGATGCTCAACTGGTTTTTCTGGCTGACCTTTTTATTTCATCTGGAATCCTATGAAGTGTCCCTGCTCACAATCAGGGTCTGAACTCACTGAGTCTAGCCTCTCTGGACTATGTTCAGACATGTGTCTCCCAGGTAATTCTAAATCCACTCAAGCGGACATGAAGATTGACAGTTATGGATCTCAGTCTGAAGATGCTTGAAGTTTGCTCTCATTGAAGAAACTACCTGGCTGACATCATTGCTAGGCTATCGAACTTATGAACCTAAGAGCAAACCTTGGGTGTTCCCTCTGGAACCTGCTCTTCCTGTGTCTTTCCAATCGTGATGAGTAGTTATTTTACAGCTGCAGTTGCTGTAACCAAAAATGTTAGCTTCATCCTTGCTTCCCTTCTATTTTGAACATTCTTCATCTTTAACTTTAGAGAACACTGATAGCTACACTTTCAAAATTGACCCAGAAATCTGCCGGTTTTTTATACCTGCTACATAAGGTCTTGTTGCTTTTAAGATTCCATCCTATGCGTTTTAATTTCTTCCCATTGTGTCTCTTTGCTGTTGCTGCTTTTGATTTTACTATTATCTCGTTTTGTATCCCTTTCTGCATGGGATATAATGAGCACACTACCTTGCTTTTGTAGGTCTTTGCTAAAATGCCTCCTTTTCTGGGGCTTGTTCCCAGCCAATTCTGTATCAGTTTGTAAACTCTAGGCCTGAGACATCTTAGCAATTCCTATTTTCTACTCCTGATTTAATTAACCCGTGAACGTATTTCACTTCTCACGTACCACATACTTTACGTATTTTGTTTATTGTTTATTTTGTACCATTCACTGGATGGTACTTGAGAACTACTTCAGGTGCTTAGCTTGATAACCATCTTTTTTTTTAAAAAAAAAAAAAAGAGACCTTACATTGTAGCCCAAGCTAGTCTGAAACTCATTATATAGTCAAGGTTGGTTAATACATATTTGACAAATAAAAAGCTCTAAATATACAGTACCAGACGTATCTTCAAAGATTTCATAAATGGTTTTGGTAGGAGAATTTTTGTTGGAAACATTGAAACATAAATAATTTCATTTAAATGAAGACCATCAAATGCAGAACATTTTAAAGAACGAAAGGAAAAGGAGAAAGCAGTATTGCAACTGAGTTACATGTCTTTAATCGCATCACATGGGAGACAATGTCAGATAAATCTCTGTGACTCTGAGGTTAACCCGATCTACATAGTGAGATCTTGTTTCAAAGAGGACGACAAGAGAGGGTGGGGAAGAAAGAGAGTTTAAAGATAGGGGTTTGAAATGAAGAAGCAGGAAAGGGGGAGAAGTTTGGTAGAATAAAGAGCAGGGAACTGTCACTGGAGTAGCTTTCTTGGTGAGTTGGAAACTGGCAGGAGTTGGAACCACAAGGGCATTAGACTTTGGCAGCAAGAGCATCACCAGGGACAACAACAAAGGCGTCCACCCAGGACAGTGAGCAGGGCCCTACACTCACTGTACTTGCTGAATGCTCTCCTCTTCTGGTCTCAATATTATTCATAGTTTTATCAGTGTAGTCACTACTGTGTCATTTCTCAATGAGTAATAACAAATTATGTAATCATTCCTGCGAAGCACATAAGCACTCCCATTGTTCTGCAAGTGGGGGCAGGAGCAATGATTCCAGATTACAGAAGACTTTCGACATTTTATAGTAGGAAGGTGAAGGAGCTCCTGCACAATGGCATTGATTTCATCTTTTCTTAAGGGCAGAAGGTTATCTCTAAGAAGCAAAGGAAATAGAAAATGCAAAGAATACAGAGAAAATGTGTACCAGAATAGGGAAATGATTGAGGACCTATGTAGCCACTTGATCTAGATTCAAGTTGTGACTTTCACTAGCTGGGTGACTTCCCACAAGTCATTTCGCCTGCTTCTGCTGTAGTTTGCTGTCCTGTAGGTAAAGGGTATAATGACATTTTAAGAGTGTGTTTGGTTATAGTTACTATAGACCAGGAAGAAAATTGACGAGAAGAAAGATCTAGAAACTACTCGAATATGTCCTCTCTGTGCAGATTCACATCTGCTGAGGGCAAAATGTGACCTAGTCAGGATGAAAAACTACTCAGGGGAACCAAGCACAAAACAATTCTTTAATTCTAAATATAAAATATATTTCCATGTATTTTGCATAAGAATGAGAATGTTTTTTTTTTTTTGCAGATGTTAAAAAGAAGAGTGAAGAGAAAGCACAAGACCAACCGCAAAAGTCCCTAAATGACGGAAAATGAAGACTTACAATTTATCCAGGGTGTTGATTTTATGCACATTGGGAGACATAGCAGCTATGCCTTCCTGAAGTGTTTGATCTGGTAGTAATCGTGGTAGTGTGTGCGTTTTAGGTAATTTCGTTGTGCTGCTCTGTCCTTAAACCACAACCATGATACCCAAATAGGTTATTAAAAGGTATTACATTCAAATTGCACCCAAGGAAGGACACACGGTTTATACATCCAATGAAGTCCACTGTCTGTCTTGGGATTTACTTAGTCAGATACGTGTTTAACTATGTTCTTATTGATATGCATAAACCAAATCCTATTAATTTAATACTTTGCAGAATTTGTAGGAAATTATATTTTTAGTGAGATGGTATTAATAGTAAAAAAAATCACAGGTATAAAATGTGTTTATTTTTGATCAAAATGACACCATATTTTCCCCAAAATTTAAGAGAGATCTGCAAATATTGTAAAAGTTGTGACAACATAAACATCTCTCGGTTGCTTTTGTCTAATGTATTTGCATCTAGTCTGTGTATACTGTGACTTTTCATATGGATGCACAGAATGTAAACTTTGTGGCAAATTGCTTACGTGAAATATGTGTAATAAATAAATTTCACTATATTCCTTAACTTGGTTCATGTGTATGTCTTGTTTTATGTGGATTGTATAAGATATTGTGCTAGGTTCTCTAGACTGCCTTTTCTTCTCTGGACTTCTGTGTGTGGGAAAATTGTTGTTAAAGTAATTTCATCAGAAGTGCTGACCTTAATTTTTATATTTTTCCTAAGTAGTCAACATAGCAGTGATCACTTTAAATATCTGCACAACATACTGTAAATAAAATTTGCAGAAGACTTGCTTTTAATATATGTTTAATTATACATTTTTAAGAACGGTAACAAAACCAAGGTGCTAACAAATTTTAACCTGTTACATAGTTTAGAAAAATAACATAATTCTTAATCTTAAATTTTTTTAATAATTTGTTTATATATGCAGGTAATTAAATTCTAATTGTTTGTTGACTTAGATTTCCCCTGTTTACACTAACTAAATAAAATTTCACAGTAGATATGCCTTACTGATACAGTTTTCATTTGTTTCATCTTCTGAGGTATGCTGGGAATATAGGGGTGATGCTCCCGAAAGGATCACAGTGACAGTCTTTGTACTTTAAATCACCTACTGCTTGGGACTCTTTTAACCAAGTTTAACTCTAGGATTATATATACACCAAAGGGGGATTTCCAAGAGCTTCATTGTTTCCAGCTCTCAAATTTTTTATATAAAATAATCAAAATTAGTATATAGGTAGGTGTGCATTAATGTCCAATAAAATATATTATAGCCATTAAAGTATTTATCAAAGTTGTCCAATGAGGTGAGACTGAGTGGTTGGCAGGACAAGCAGGAAGAATAGTTGTTTCCAAATTAATTGGGATTGGAGAACTGGGGACAATTGGGAAAAAGAGGTGAGCCCAGAGGCTGCTGCTGGAATGGAGTGAGCGGAGCTGGGATGCTGCCAGCAGCAGGTGAACGTTCTTCATCCCCATGGAGGCCTCCATGGCAAAGCTGCCCAGCCTTAGCCATCAGCGTTACTGAAGTTGAGAGCCTGGAGAACAAACTCTCTGGGTTGGAATTTTAACTCTACGTACTAGCTATACGATCTCGACCACTGAAGATCATGTCTGTAAGTTTCCAGCACATCCTTTGTGGAACGCCATCAGTAATAATCCACATCTTATAGAGTGAGTGTGATGATGGTGAGTTTCAATCTCAGCTCGACACACCCATGAGCACCAGGCAAAGGAGTCTCTATGAAGAAATTCTTCGGTTAGTTTAGCCTATGGGGATGCCCATGGGGGGCTGTCTTGATTACATTCATTGATATGGGAAGACCAGCCTGCTGTGGGTGGTACTATTCTCTGGTTTGGGGTCCTAGACTGTATAGAAATGGAAAAAGTGAGCAGAATGTCTGTAGGGCACTCCTGCCTTCTTTACTTCTCTGCTCTGGACTGCGGATGTGATGTGACAGGCTGTCTCGAGATTCTGGTGCTGTGCCTTCCTTTCAGCAATGGTCTGTCACCTGGAGCTGTTAGCTAAAATAAATCCTTTCTCTCCTAAACTGCTTTTGTCTGTTGGAGCATTTTACCACAACGATAGGAGTAAATGGAAACAGTGGGTGAAAGCGGTGATGAGATGGTATGTGTAAAGCACTTGAGTGATGCCTCAGAGAAATGTTTTGATAAATATTAGTTATTATCATCTCCTTTGCTCGTGGTCTTATTCTTTGGGTAGATGGATAGCTAAACTGGCTAGTTGACTCTGATTTCATGGTTATTGAGAGAATTGATTATACTGGAAATGGACAGTTAGAAATAATTACCACATTATTGTAAAGTCTGTCATGTTAATGAGTGGTTGGAGCATTGGTGATGTGGGATTCCCCTCTGTATGCTGTGAATACCATTGGTGAATAAAGAAACTGCCTTGGCCTGTTGATAGGGCAGAACTTAGATAGGCAGGGAAAACTAAACCGAAGGCTGGGAGAAAGGAGGCAGAGTCAAAGAGAAGCCATGGAGTTGCGGCCGGAGACAGACACTGATAGGCCACGACCTCGTGGCGATACACAGATTAATAGAAATGGGTTAAATTAATATGTAAGAGTTAGCTAATAAGAAGCTATAGCAAATGGGCCAAGCAGTGTTTTAACTGATACAGTTTCTGTGTGATTATTTCAGGGCTAAGCATCAGGGAACTTACTAGAGGCCTCCTTACAACACATAGTTGTTTAAAGATGAGTCTCCACCACTAGGGTTTTATGACAGTTGTCCAACAAAATAGAGTCAGTGTTTAACCAAGTCATTTTTTTTCTACAAAAATATAGAAGGAAAATAAGTAACATAGCTCTTGGGTAATGACATTTTTTAAATTTAAATCTAAATCGTCTATCCTCATTATTTCTAGTAGTGACAAACATTATGGATTGTGTATATTCTAGAGCACAATTTATCATCGCTTGCACACACACACACACACACACACACAATGTATTTTGTCTTACATAAGGTGCCACATTTGCTGATAAAGAATGTTTTAGAGAAAGAGAATGTGTTTATTCTTTTGCTGAGGAACTAAGACAAAGGAGAATTCAAGGTCAGAAGTTGTTTAAAGACAAGATTGAATTTTCTCACCAGTTTTTTTAAATGTAAAGAATATTATGTTTTTAGGAAGGAGACATTTTCAAAAGGAAATACTTGACTATGTGGTTATAGTGTATTAAAGTCTCTAGCCCATGTTTACATTGTCTTTGTGTGCGCTGTCTGCTTGAGTCATTTATTAGAAAATTTTAGTTATCACAGTCAGATAACCAGGCTAAAATGGAACAGTAAAGGTATCAAGCCACTGTCTAGAAACTTACCTCTCTGTAAAGAAAGAAAAAGGATAAACGTGATCTGCTCTGTGTCCTATGCCCAGAGAGATTTCTGTGATCTTTGCATCTTCTCAGAATGTAACTAAAGGTGAGTACCCTACTGAAAAAGGAAATTATGCAGAATCTTCAGCTTTGCTCTCTTCAGTGGTCTAGGCATGCTGGGTGGATGATGGGAGAGGGGAGAAAAAGGGAGAGCATAAGAAAGGGTGAGAGGAGAGGATGATGGAGAGCAAAGGAGGAGGAAACAGAGGATCCGAAGGGAAAGTAAGGGGAAAGGAGGAAAGGGAAGAAGAGGGAGGAGAAGTGGAGATGAAAAGAGTGAGATGGGGGGAGGAAAGGGGGGAAGAGACAGGGAGGGAGGGGAAACGAGAAGGAGAATAGAGAAGATGCAGCAAAGAGAAATAAAAAAGGAAAAGAGACAGGAGCCTGAGAGAAAGAAGGACTAGAGGAGAGAGTGGAGGGGGCTAGAGAGCAGATATAAAGAGTAAGAAGGTGGGAAGGGGTAGGGCACAGGCAAGGGAGGGGCAGGGATCTAGCTAACTACTACTCACAAGCCCGTCTCCTCTGTGCACCTGGCATCTTCCAAGCACATCTCTGCTATTTGACTCTGATTGATTATTTTATGCTATTTCTTCAATGTGCAAACTACTGAATTATTATAGAAGTGAAAGGACGAACTATTGGCAATATTTTGAGCATGGTGCCAGACACACAGCAAAAATCATGGCTAGTTGCTAAAGCATAGCGGCTTGCCAGAGCTTGAGGGCCCTGGTCTGTCGATTTGCTTCCATGGCATTTGTCACAGTTTCCCTCTTTCTCCTCAGTCTTTTCTCCTCTTGTAGGACATTTTCTTATCTACAGCTGTGCTTGCTTCATTAGTGAATTCCTTCTCTCTGCCCAGTTATTGATGACAGTTCAGATCATCAAACACCTGCTACCATTCAAAGATAGGTCCGCTGACTCAAACAAAAAGTAGAAGTTGAATCAGGAGTTCTTCTCACCTGATTGAATCCTGGAGCCAACTTCTCATGGAGCACCAAGCAGCAGGAACAGTTAGAATGGACAGCCTTCTGGGAGCTGGGGACTGCTAAGAACATATTAGAGCCTTTCGAAGTTTCAAGAAAATCATCGTACAAGCTAGTTGCTCCTGATTTTCACTTAAAGAGAATAAAATGAGTTTGGAGGGTGTCCCTGAGAACTCTCAGAGCTGCAACTGTGAGCCAGGGCAGAACTCTTAGAGTCTGGGTAAGCAGTGCCTCCCTTAAGCCAAAAAGTCACTTGCCCACATGGGTTGAGTCAAGAGTCTTAGTAAATTTGCCCGAATCCTAGGAAAACTGAAAAGTTTATACAGGGAAATTCACACAGGACTTGTTTGTTTGCCCTTCCTTCCTTCCTTCCTTCCTTCCTTCCTTCCTTCCTTCCTTCCTCCCTCCCTCCCTCTCTTCCTTTCTCCTTTCCTTTCTGTTTTTCTTTCTTTCTTTCCAGAGAAGACTTTGTATGACAAACATAATAATCCTCTCACTCATTGCACATTTTCAGGATGTGAACAAACTGGAAAATCTATGGGAAACCCACGATTCTTGGGGTCCAGATGACAGTACTTGCGAGAGGGAAGGTGAGAGCATCTAGCTGTGGAGGATGAGGAAAGCCACAGCTAGGCTTACCCCTCTTTGTGTGTCTGGGAGCCTCCCGTGATGCTAAATAAAAGCCCGACTTTCCAAAAGTGTGCTAGGTACCTTTGGAGCACTACGTCAAAACACCGGGGATAACTGAAAATGTGACACGATTTGTTTGGGCTCGTAGTCTCAGAGGTTTAAGTTCAAGGTCATGGTGGGAGCATGGGGCCAGCTGGCATGTCATCTCTTGGCCAGGGTCACAAACCTACTTCAGAGGTCTAAACTTCCATCTCAGGTCCCATCTCCTAGCTCTGTGAGTAGTACCCAGGACACTTTGAGTGCGCCCTTCAGGGGACATTTGAGCTGCAAACTGTAGCAATCTGACAACCACTGACGATGAATGTCTTAAAAGTAGAACATCTTGAGTGCCTGTGCTATTGCCATCTGCCCAGGGACAGTGTGCCTTGAAGGTGCTCGTCTTTGCAGCAGTGTGCAGTTGCGGCCTTAAGGAGCCGTTCTCCAGAGAGTAAGAAATTAACAAAGCACTTGCTACTCCTTAGATTTCATGGACTTCACTTGG